CCCCCCAAGACCAGGAAAAGAGGCCACCTGCCGCCGGCCTCTTGCCAAGTGAAAACGACCTCCCCAGTAAGCTTATTCACATAGCAGGCTGGAAAAGGGGCGCAAAATCCCACAAACGGATCTTAACAGCATCATTAAAACCAGAGAACCAGTAACGGCGATTAAATGTGGTCAGAGGCCCCGTCGCCATACGTACCGGAACTGCGCAAGGGCACAGACGCGTTCAGGAGCTGAGGACTGCTGATAACACAGCTGTGTCCCAGAATAACAGATACAAACTATAAAAAAAAGCTAATTTCATCCAGGTGGATCAGATCTCAGCACTTTACCTGAGGAGATACTTGCACGTATGTAGTGATATATGATGTGTGTCAGGAAGCATCTGTTAATTTTTGGACGATGACATCACAGCTGGGCAGAGGTACTGGATCTCCCCAAAGCCATGATCGGTAAGACTTCATCTGTGCACACAGAAGCGGGCCGGCTTGGGTCAGACTTTGTTCACAGACAAACAGATCTGAAAGGACTGGGAGAAATCACCGTCCGGTGAAAAATGATGCAAACGCACCTCAATCGGCTGGTGAGACTGAATTTACCCCCGCCCCCGCTCACAAGCGGCCGTGTGGAGTGCCGGTTAAGCATGGGGGTGACAGACGAGGCATGAGGGCCGGGGGGGGGGGGCGGGCTGCAGCCGTCATCGTCAGTGTGAATCCTAACCGCGGACAGTAGTGAGGCCACAGGTTTGCCCCACAGTGCAGGGGATCCTGGGGATCAAACCCAATGGGAACCCAAAGCCACGTAGAAGGCTGAAAAGGCGGCTCCAGAGTGAAATTTTTAATAGAAGAGAAGCCACCAGAGCGGGCCCCCCCACTGAAACCTTCAGAGAGGCAGGAAATTAATTACATCTAACATGACCCCCGCAGGCGTGAATAAAAGCTGAAGACAGTTTCATGGTGACGTGGTGAGAGTGTGGAAGGGAGCCAGGCTGCGGACAGCATGCACGTCGCGCAACCGGGATCCAGGCTCAGGTCAAAACGTGCCCCCCCCCCCCGCCCACCCCACCCCAATAATAGAGTAAAAGCAGACAGCTGACCGAGCACTGACAGCTGGGACAGACCCCAGACCGCACCACTGACACGAGTGACAAAGCACCTTGACCCATAAAACACTCAACGCATGGGCCGCTTGCTTCTTCCAGCCGTCATATGGGACATATTCCGAATATCAAACAAGCCCCCCCCATACCCCGTCCCCCTTCCCCCTCTCGGCGATGACAGCCTCGGTTTGGACCGACGCCACCACACTTCCCGCCCAGTCTGCTGCCGTGCCCAGTCACACGCCGGCTCTGTCAAACATCCAGATGCCATTTCAAGGTTTGCCAGGAATCGAGCCACCGAGCCGGACGGCCCTGCCATGGTGCCCCACCCACAAAGACAAATCCCCCAATCATGGGTCAGGTCATCTCGTGAGCCTGTCCTGCTTGTGAGAAACTCAAACCTGCTGCACTGGGAAGTTTCAAAAGTTTCCAGTTTCTTCAAAACTCCAACACACCTGCCCAGTGTCTGTTTATCTCCACAAGCAGGGGGCGCAGGTCCAGTTAATTCCTCACCTGCTGGTCTGGTGTGCACCACCATGTACATTTTTACTCTTAAAAACACTCACAACTCCCAGACAGGCTTCAGAGGTGCACCGAGTCAAGAACAACTTTTTCCATGAGGCCACGTTCCGCTTACGCATCTGAAAAACCTACATTTTACACAATTAAGACTACATTCCAAGAATTTAACCACTTTGATATAACCTGAGAGAGGATCTAAGTCACATTTTTTCCCCCATCTACATCAGCAATTAAGGAGCCACGGAGGAAACCATGGCAACACTGACGAAGCAAATGTCACCTGACTGTCATCATTGATATCCTCATCTCTCAATGAAGAGTTTCATTTATAAACTGCTTCGACAAATTCTTTATATGTCAAATAGAGAAAACACTATCCATCTATACCCTGTGTATGGTGAGTTAAATAGCTACATGCAGATACCCAACACCCTCCCTCTTGATTCCTGCTGAAACAAGCATGAAAACACCCCCCCCCCACTACAATCTTATCTATAGGCCACAGGTAATTACTTACCTGCTCGCAGTGAGCTTAGAGTACCTAGAAAAACACCCAAAAAAAGACCAAACTGACGACAAAATGGAATGATCTTTCACATTATACATCTAACAGCAATTTATGTCAGAAACCACAATGCTATGAAGAAACGCTTCAATACCTCAGTTCTGTTATATATTAATACCTCCCTCATCCCCCCCCCAAACAGTTCCCACCTTAAAAAGCCTGATGACAGTTGAATACAATAAGGAATGAACAGCCAAGTGAGGTCAAAACAAGCCTATGGAATGTTCATCTTTCAAGAGTGCAGCAGTCAAGGATAAATTTTAACAGCACTTCACCTTGATTCGAGGCTGGCAAGGCGCTTGACACCCTGATCTAGTCTCTTTCAAGGGGTTAGTTAACAAGGCAGGCAAGGAACAGCCTAGACCAACACCTCACTCAAAGACATCAGTCACAGCAATTTAGTTACTCCAAGCACACACAGATAAATCCATAGCAAACTGGTAATGGTGCTCTTCTTTAAAGGAAAGCAATTATAAGCCTGACAGGCCATTTAAAAAATGTATTTAGTACAATCCAGGGCTGCGTATAAAATGGGATTGCATTAACAAAGCGAAGAGGCTGAAATTTCATCAGCTGGTCACAATGCCACGAACAAACCCGAATGACCCCGGTCGAACTCACCGTGCTGCTGCTTCGCAGGGTAATGGCTTGGGTTCACGGCCATCGCCCACAGCAGCGTGCATGAAAAGCCCAAAGAAGGCCTCTTTATCCTGCCAGGCCACAAACCCTGCTCAGTTCACCTTCCCAAGAAGCCAAGAGTAAACTGGCCATATCAGCGCAGGCTGTAATTTCAGTTTATCACCAAGATGGAAAAAACAATTGCCGGGTCATTAAAAGAATGGGAAATAGTGTGGTCAGTTTCCCATGGGGGGTAGAAAAATGTATTTCAGACACATTGTTACATATTGTATCACATTACTGGTATTATGATTCTTAGCTAAACACATGTATCAATAATAATCTCAATGAACCTATTATTAGGTGCTTTCACACCAAAGATCTGGAACCTAGTCCCTGTTTACAAGCCCACAAACTTAAAGGACCTGAGAATTTTGTAGCTCCCGGCTACTTTTGTGTGTCATTTTCTCACCTCAACTGGAACAGGGACCTTTATGGTAAACAAGCATGGGAGACGCAAAAAGCTTGTAGGTTAAACTTCACACATAATTTCACATGAAACTACACTGTCAACCCAAAACAATGATGGATGGACAAGATGTTTTGTTAGACACTGGGGGGGCAATCAATTGCGATCAAAACCAAACACATCAGACGCCTTTTATTTATATTTTATTTACACGACCTGCAGTATGTTTATAATTTTTATTAAATTTGGGGGGGGGCAATCAATTGCGATCAAAACCAAACACATCAGACGCCTTTTATTTATATTTTATTTACACGACCTGCAGTATGTTTATAATTTTTATTAAATTTGGGGGGGGGCAATCAATTGCGATCAAAACCAAACACATCAGACGCCTTTTATTTATATTTTATTTACACGACCTGCAGTATGTTTATAATTTTTATTAGATTTGGCCAGCAGATCAGTATTTCGTTTTCCACAAAATAAAAATATAACATTATCCTGCTAATAAATGCTAATAAAAGTTTCACCACCAAAACTTGTATTAAACAAAAGTATGAGAAAAGCATATGAGATAAAGTTCAATTTTCCAATGCAGAAATAAGTAGATACAAGCAAACAAATGTATTAATTAATGCATTAAATGTATGCGAGATACAATAATATTGATCAGATGGATTTTTTTTGCTCCGCTACTTCTGTCTCTTTTCCCAGCACTTCCACATTAACGCTGGTTCTTGGTTTATCCAATCAGCAAGTTCATCACTGTAAGCACCTCCACAGTAGTTCATGTCCAGACAAAAAGTACCTAGTCTGCAGTAGGTACTAAAAAAAAAGTCCCAGAACTGCCTCAGAGAAACTATAATCGGGGATGTGCTTCCCAAAAACACAGTCGCCACATCAGCCACTTATATAGCTGGAACCATGCAATTGAACAGGTCCAACTATGTCAGTTAACAGGAGCTTTTGGGAAATGCACCCAGGGCCTAGTTCCTGTGCTGTGAACACAACAAAAGTTACTGGTTCCAGAAAAAGGTTCTGGTTCCTGGAAAAAGAAAAAAAATCCTGCAGTGTGAAAGCACCTATTCACTGAAATAGCTGTGGATTTTACTCAATGTATCCACATTAAGAGGGTTACTTGAGAGTACAGCAACCTTGCCTGATCCCATCCACAAACTAAGAAAACTGATTCCCAAACAGGAATACGTGGCTGACAAAAACAGAAACACCGACTAATAATACACAGTAAAACAGCATGCCAGTATGTTGCAGCCTGCAAGTTCACTGCATTTCATCAACCCACAAAAACCTGAATGCTTGTCCTGTTGCCATGCGGCCCGAGGGAGGCGCCGTCCGGCCTAGCCCCCACTAACTGCAAACTTTCATATCTGGAGATTTACAAAGTGGGCCACAGGATTAGAGGCTGCGGTGAGGCAGCAGAAGGGCCGTCCCAGGGGCCGCCCTACAGAGGGTTTATTACACATCTGACCAGACAGCAAACCGATTAGGGGGGTAGGCACCAGTCCAGGAGGGTGGGCTACAGGACACAAAATGTTATTGAATTCCAAGGCTAAAATTACACACCTGTGGACCAGGTGTCTGAAAGACATCAACAGTAGTAATATTAAATGTGTCACTGCTGGAAATAAAACTGAAACAATTAAGGTAGAGCTGACATGGGCCAAGGCTGCCAAAACCTACTATGAAGGCAAGAAAACAAAAAACCAAACAGAAGAATGGGCCTGAGCACAAGCCTCAAATATCTGCTAAAATCCTGCAACAAAAATTAAGAGACCTGCCTCGTTTTTCCAGGAAAACCATCTGAATGAGAATAAGAGATAAGACCAAACAATGAGAAAGTTTGAGCACTAATCACTAGCTAGAAAAATCTCTACAGCAGGGGTTCTTAACCTGGAGTCCGGCAATGGGTCTTTGGGGTCCGTGATGATCAGACTAAAAATGACAACTCCACAGTTTCATCTACTTTTTGAAGCCAAACAAAAACAACCTTGTAATTGAAATGAACACCTGAGTATAATTTGTGTTTTGTTTAAACTGCATGAGATTATTGCATTTAATCTTTGCATGGACTGCCGTTCAATTTGCAAGAAAAGGAGTCAAACATTTTTGTTTAGATTTATTCATGTGTTGTGCATGTCATGCATTGTATGAGCGTATGAGAGTTCAATAAAATACATTCATTGCATACACAACTGAGTTTATGTGCTTATGTGCATATTTTCTGGAGGGGGTTGGAAGCTTTCACCAGATTCGAAAAGGGGTCCGTAACTCAAAAAAGGTTAAGAACTACTGTTCTACAGAATCTATTGCTCTCTATAAACTTTGCGGTCAGCACTGTTTCACAGAGCAGTTACGCTTTGGAAGGGAGGAAATTAGGTTAACTAGAAGATTGGCATCTCAAGCTGCCCCAGCCAGATTCCAGGTAGGAGAATGACTGTGATTTGGTTAACAGAAGACAAACTTCAATAGCAATCTCAAAGAAAATCATATGCAATCAATAAATTAATTAATTAATTAATTAATTAATCAATCAAATAAATAAATAAATAAAAAATAAAAGGAAAAATATCTATTAATTTAATTTTAATTTACATCTTTACTCAACAACAGAAATAAACGTATATAGCCCACTAAGCTGCCATTTTTAAATGTCTTACTAGACTTTTTAGCATCACTAATAAAAACTGATGGTCCAGGAAGAAAAGCCAGAACTATCCTCACATCACCTACAGGCTGTTTAAAGTTGCAAGCTAGCGCAAAGCTCCTAATAATCTTTGAAATTACAAGATTGAGTGCTTTTGTATGCAAACTTATTTTCGCATTATGTGAAAGACTGAGGTGGAAACATTTATATTGGTTGGGAGTCTCCCCGACAATGTACGTGCTTAAACTGTGTGCGCCTGACAAAGCCATCAGAGACACACAGTACATCCTGAGGGACAGCTTTGCAATGCAGACACATTAAAAACTCCCATTATATCGATTTACACTTCGTGTTATTGTGCCGTGGCAAATGCGTTTACGGATGGCTGAAGCCTTGGGTAATGGCAAAATGAAAAGCTCCCATAACGCTTGAGCTACCCAGCCGGACAACGTCGGACTGGCTAAATATTATTTATATTCATATAAAGGGTAAGTGAGGCGCAGGCGATGGAGAGCTGGCTGCAGATAAGTATCCTCTTGCTTTGCTGGTGAATTTGCACACGCATTACCAAGCTGTCAGAAGTTATGTGTAGCCGGGGCCCCCAGCATCTGCCGTGCAAAACCTGCACCACCCATCCGACGACTTCAGCCACCCCCAACATGAACGTGCAACCTACCATAATGACCTGCGATAGTCGGCTAGCGGTCCGAGCGCACCGCAGCACCCGGCTCAGGGCATCGGCCGGCCAAGTGCCGGCTCTGCAGAGCTAGCGCGGTGCTGCTGGATATCCGACTGGCCACTATAGATTGAACAGCTAGTTAACGGGTTTGCTGGGTAGTTAACGACAGCCTCGGGGGATGGTGGTAGTAAGGGTTGGGGGGTTATCAGCGGCGGGGTATCCAGCCTGAGAACAGCGAGGTCCCGTATCTCATGACCTGTTATTGGGGGAAAATGTCTGCTGCGTCCCCTACGGCAAGGTGCGAGACTGCCTAACCGGCCATCCGTGTGCCCGTGACACAATGAAGCAGCCCGACACTCACCGATCACCTCCTTCAGCTCGTAGTCATCCTTGTTGATGGACCACGGTTGGGAGCTCAGGTCCTCCGACATGGCTGCAGTCGGCCGTCAAACCGCGCGAATCGCCACCACGGGCTGCTGTGTTTCCTAAAGCTAAAATACCGGTACTCCTCCGAGCCGCCCTGAAACGATACTTCCCCCCCCTACTCGCTATATTTCTCGGCTCGCGGGATCGATCCCAAACTTTGCTGGTAGCGCCACATTCCCCGCCCACCTCAGCTAGCCATAGCCGGGCAGAGGAGCCGGAAGGCGGCCATCTTGAGTGAGGCAAAGCCTACAGGCAGACCTTCGTTTAGACCCAAATTTAAAATAACGCATCGCATTTCTTACATTCGCGAGGAAAACGGGTCAAGCCTCTAATATGAGCTTTATTATTTGATTCAAGTTTAAGACCAATTAAGTATTTATTATGTAAACGTAAATGGATGCTTTTTTGACATAAATGGCATAATACATACACAGTATACAGTAAATTAACTGAAAGCGTTAGTACCTAGTAATCCCGATTAATTACATGTGAAGCACTTACATTTACATTTTTTAAAGCCACAATTTTAATGGATGACTTTAGCTACCATTGTACACTGCGGAACATTTCTATCGATTCCTATTTTTACAATTGTAATTGGTTGACATTGAAGAACCCGTTTTTGGTTGGCTGTTTTTAGTGTCAATCAAAGACAAATCTTCGGAGTGTGCCGTCTACTCAGAAACTTCCGTGTTCAAAAAGTGTACGTCAAACTACACTGGAATCGAATGCTGATTGGTCATCTGTACACAGTCAAATATCATTCGCTGATTGTTCGTCATGGGCGTACTCTTTCTGATTTAAAACTGCCCACAGTTCTGTTGGGATATCGTCTGATTATGCTCTTCTTTACTATAATCTGAAAATGGCTATGTTTGTGAACTGCGTTAATTGATTAATTTGTTAAGGTCAGAAAAGTCCCCCACCCCACACACACACAGTATGTGATAGGCCTAATCAGGTCGAGAAACATATATATAAGTATATTTTCAAAGCAACATTTTGTTGATAAAAGATTGAGCTTATTGTTAAAACAAACAACACAACTAATAATTTTATTTTGTGAAATACAAATCCTTCTTTTGTGAGATATCCCACCTATATGTTATTTTCGTAATTTAAGAAAATCTGAAACAGATCCTGTCTGGGGTTTCCCTGATTCATAGACTGAGGTTCATTTTGACCCCATGCTAGAATAAGATATACATATACACGGATGGATGGAAAAATGTATGGGATAACAGTGAGAAAAATGGATGACAGGTGGATGACAATTGTACGCCTTTCTGTGTGGTGGGTGACTGAAACAAGAAACGAGAAACAACAAAACTCCATTCAGGACCTCTCATGCAATTATGTGCATGTTTGCATTCCCATTGGTCTGTTTCTGTGCCAGTTAACATTGACAAGTCTCTGGGTAACCAATCACACTGCACAGATCTGTGGGGCAGGTTACAAACATGGTTTCTACATTGTTTGTGTATTCTTCTTCTGTTCTTTTTAAAGACCAGCTAACTGTCAGAGAAACTCTCCCTTCACTGAAATGCATGCATTCTCCCCATTATTTAATGCTTCCATGGGTGTTTGTTGCAATGTTAACAATCACAAGTAAGTTATGTTATCTGGGTAAAATGTAGGACAACTTTGGCGCACTGTTTGCATTGCTGCTCTATATGATCACTCTACACTCTTAGGTATCCCAGTTCTAATACAAAAGAAAAGTTACTGTGAAGATATTGACAGTGTCACTGATTCTTGCACACTGCTAAATCACAGCAAATAGGCAGAAGCTTGCAGGGTTGTGAATCAGCCCAAAACAAGCGAGCTACAATAAGGTTTCGGGTTCAGCCATGACCTACATCTGGACATTCAGCGTGTGAAGCAGAAACAACGCCAGTGGATGCGTCAATGGGCAGTCAGCACCCAATCACAGGCCACTCACCTCGGCACAGGCACAGAGTCTGTCTGTCTGTCTGTCTTTTGCTGCCATGCTGTGGGAGTGAATGGAAGTACAGCTTAGTGACTGGAACCTTCTTAAGAGCTATGAGCCTACCTCCTGGGTGGGGTTGTCAGGATCGTTTCCAAGCCATGTGGCCACTGGCGATATTTGTCTGGCAGGCAGGGTGCACGGGGCAGCAGAACACAGTGTGGCAGGCATGGACCATCAGATTTGGGCTGCAGATCAGATTAAGAGGTGTGGCTTGCAGCTCTGGTCTGACTCTTTTATCTTCTGATTGGATGACACTGGCCTTTTCCCGCTATGAAGCTGTTGTGAGCCTTTCTGATGGAATTTCATGGCAGACTTGATCGAGGAGGGAGCTTATTGACTCACATGGGATGTGGAGACTGAAAAAATCTCTTTAAAAGACAGGCCATCGTGATGAGGCCTAAAGTCAAAGAGCCCATAAATGTGTGCCACTATCAGTTTCTGTGAACAAAATCATCTCTCTAGAATAACTGTTAACTAATTTCACAACAAACCTTTTTGTGATGAGATCATATTTGGGTATAAGTCAATATCAAATTCATATTTTATTTAATATTACACTTGATAGAACAAATGAACTGCTATTAAACTTTGTTACATATTGTATTCGTACTGTACTTCAACCGGCAGCACATTCATCATAGTCTATTTTTAGATGTTCAACATGAGCTCATCTTTGGATATTAATAAATACATCTGCGGAATTCATGCCGCGCCATGTTTTTTTTTCTTTTTCCAGCAAACCCGACAGTGAAAATCACGTGACACGGGAAGGACGACGTATATATAAAGCATGCTTTAAGATAAATAGATAATATGTAAATAGGCATAAGTTTGAAATAAATATTGTTCTAATGATCCTCAAGAATAAAAAAAAATGAAAATATGTAACAAAGAATGTCTACGAACAATATCGTGTATAAAGTCATCACAAGAAAGCTTTACGACGCAAAACGTTTTTGATTTCATGTATCGCAGTAAAAAAACGAACAAAATGTTATTCTAAAAAGTTAATGTAGTTTATTAATTCATTCAATGACTTCAATGAGAACATCGTTTCCCTAAAGAATGTCAGCAGGGGAAGACATTATGTCTGACATCTGTTCCTTATCATAAAATGACAAATATATTAACAATGTGTTTTTCTCTGCGGGTGTAATAAAAGTAATCAAGCGAGTCATCTGATATGAGGATAGTTTTAATTTTTCTCGTGTAGAGTGGCAGCTCAGTGTAATTTCCACCTGTGCTAGAAGTGTAATTAGCATTTGGCTTGACAGTTTCTGCGAAAGCCGGTGGGTTTGTTTTGCCTGCGAGCGTTTCTGTTGTGACACAAAACGCCTTTGTGCAAGCGGCGCTTGGGGCTCAGCGCGAAGGGGTACCCTCGCCCTTGTCAGAATGAGTCCCAGCAGCGCTCGCAGGGACAGCTGCCCGGACTGGTTTCCTACGGACGGTGACAGATTTCGGAGGTTACCGCTCCAGCCATCTATCACATGAATATTGCAGAGCTGTTCCTACTTTGTTGTACAAATTTACATAAAGGATAGCATTTATAACAAGTGCAGAGAGAATAACTGTGACACCAATAAAGCGTGTGTGTGTGTATGTGTGTGTGTGTGTGTGTGTGTGTGTGTATATATATATATATATATATATATATATATATATATACACACACACACACACACACACACTGTTAAGTTATTGCAAGGGCGTAGTTCTGGGTATGACATGTGTCTTCCAATATTGTGGGAATGTCTTGTGTGTTAAGGGGTTCGGGGCTGGTTCGGTTCTTACTGATGTTGAAGCCATCAGTGCCCTTGTGTTACTGTTATATAGCCTATAGTCTTTATATCTGTGACACTGTTGTTGTAAACCATTATGGAAAACAGTTTGTTAATCAGTAATATAAATCAAATGCAGCTGGAACCATTCTCGACTTGGCTTACTGTGATTCTCAGATGCAAGCAGCTCAAATACAGCAGGACCATTAATCTAGGTCTGCGACACGAAAGCGCACGCAGAGAGCCGGGGGACTCGCATCCTCACTCTGCTGAGAGACGCTGCCAATTTAGCGCGTGTGGGAGGCGGGGGGAGCGGATGGCAGGCGTCGGGAAAGTCACCATGTAGATGAGGAAGGGTTCACGGGGGAGGTGCGCGAGTGTATGTGGAGGGGTGGGGAGGGAAGAGGGTGAGATTAAAAAAAAAGAGAGAGATGCAAGCAACGGGGAAACGATACTTCCGCAGGCAAAGCTGCGGCGTACATTTGCTGGTTATGCAGCAAATGCTCTGCGGGACGCCGGTATTTGGCTGAAGGTGGCGTCCCGGCCGCAGGGGGTTGAATCTCGCCGGGTTGTGTGAGTGAGTAATGAGTGCGCAGATCGTAGCCGTCCACTTACCGAGTGACTTGGCAGCAAGCTGAAGGTAGCAGTGTGCTGTTTGTGGACCGCACTTTCTATTTGCCACACGGTGGTTTACACCGATTAATGAACAACTGAGAAGCTTCCATATTTTATCTCCTCATTTATCCTGTTTTAAAACGTTCCTTTCCCTTTCAGTGGTAACTTAATAAAAACCTTGCATCCATCATATTTATTGCTTACGTATCATATTTAGGCTATTGCTTGCTCTTACATACATCCAACATTATCTGTTACTGCTTGTTCACTTTTAATTAATAAAATAAGACTGAATTGAAGTGGATAAAAGTGTGTCTCAGAGAGTAGTAATGTAGCCTCTCAACTACAGGATCGTCAGCTTGATTCCTGCCCTCTGCTTTCCGTTTGTGCGGTTCACATGATCTCTCCGTGTTTCCTCCTACGGTCTGCTACGTGAACTGGCTGTAGAGAATGAGTGTATGAGTGCGAGGGCTGTGATGGGCTGGTATCCAAGTCGATCCCTTGTCCTGTGCTTCTTGGTATGAGCGGTTATCGCAGACGAATAATTAATGGGAAACATCTGACAACATCCATCCCTCAGTTTTTCTGGTTGAATGTACCGGAGAAAAATGCAAAACAGGAAAAAAAAAAAAGCATTTTCTTACATATGAAAAAAATTGATTCTTAAGATGCATTATTCAGCTTACTTTTCCAGAACTTCATAATTCATCCATCCCTCTATCCATTTTCCAACCACTTAGTGTAGACAGGGTCATGGGACTTTCATCATTCATCTTAATCTTACAATTATTATGTAGTCAAAAAGCATTTTCCTCATTGCGGTGCCACAAATTGCAACTAAGTAAATCTATTTACCATTTCATATAAACCAGTACATTAAATGATGAAATGAATGAGTAACTGCTTTGTTACTGTAAAAAACCTTCTCCGTCAACTTCCCCTCAATGCTCGTGGTGCGAACAACAGCTGGAAGACATAATACGGGTGAGCATAAAGTCTTTGAAGATCTGGACAATGACTGGGATGGGAGCAGATGTGCTTGGTCCACTCAAAGCATCTAGATCCTCCCCAGCGATCTTCAACCTAAAATAGAACCAATGGAGACATGTGTATCGTCAACTGCACCCTTTTTAACAGGGGAGAAACCTGCAGCTCACTTGTGTGAAAAGTTTCCAAATTCTCATCTACAAGGCAGATGACTGCAGGCCACAGCTGTCCAGTGAGGTAAGCCTCCTCTGGTCACCCCCCCACCCCCCCCGCTGTGTCTTGTGTGGCATTTCCTTTCCCATACTCCGAAGGCCTGCATCACACCAGATATTCCCAGCATTGGCTCTGCTGAATCTGGAAACAGCACGAGGCAGGCCAAAATTGTTGCATCTGTAGCTTGTCAACAGTCTGTCCTGGAGGTTTGACACGAAGCTACTTAAAAATGTTCATATTTTTAGCAGGTCTGTGCATGCGTACGGACTGCCAAGACTCCAATTTTAAGACAATCAGGCATTCTCAGGTTTTCAAAGCACACAGGGGGCACTGTATTTAGACTACTTCTAAAGCATCTTCGTAACTTTCCCCCCCAATTTTCCGCATGTTTTCTTATTTATTTATTTATTTATTTTTGTGAAATCCTTGCATGGTGCTTAAGAAAAACATAGATGAGAGCAGAGCAAGGTATGAGTGACATGCAAGGGGGATGGAGGGGACGAGACCGCAAACCCTCGCCAAAGCCCTCAGCAGGAGCCAAGCGAGGAGGATGAAGACATTTGGGAGGACGAACCTTCTGCTCAAGTGACTGAACGGAAGGATTGGGGGTGGAGAGAACATAAGAGCATAAGAACTATACAAATGAGAGGAGGCCATTCGGCCCATCGAGCTCGCTTGGGGAGAACTTAACTAATAGCTCAGAGTTGTTAAAATTTTATCTAGCTCTGATTTAAAGGAACCCAAGGATTCAGCTTGCACTACGTTATCAGGAAGACTATTCCATACTCTGACTACACGCTGTGTAAAGAAGTGCTTCCTTAAATCCAGTTTGAAATGTTCTCCCGCTAATTTCCACCTATGGCCACGAGTTGTTGTATTTGAACTAATGCTGAAGTAACTATTCGGTTGAACAGCATCCAAACCTGTTAGAATCTTATAGACCTGGATCATGTCCCCCCTCAGTCTCCTTTGCTTGAGGCTGAACAGATTTAGCTCAACTAACCTTTCCTCGTATGACATTCTTCTAAGACCAGGAATCATTCTTGTGGCCCTACACTGTACCTTTTCTAAGGCCGCAATGTCCTTTTTAAGATATGGTGACCAAACCTGCACACAATATTCTAGGTGAGGTCTCACCAAGGAATTGTATAATCTTAGCATTACCTCCCTTGACTTAAACTCCACACACCTGGAGATATACCCCAACATCCTATTGGCCTTTTTTATTGCTTCCCCGCACTGGCGAGAATGAGACATGGAAGCATCAACATACACACCAAGGTCTTTCTCATAATCAGCTACCTTTATTTCAGTAGGTCCCATAAAATACCTGTACTTTAATTGCAACTAAGTATCCGACAGTGAGGACTATAACCAATGTCAGAGAGGAAACATGGCAGAGACACTCTCGCTTTGCAGTTTTCAGTCCAAGGATTCCCGGCCCATTAGACATTAATGGTGGTACTATAATACGGAGGACGTGAGAAAAACTCAAACAGCAAAGCATTATGGTCTTAAAAATATGTTTAATAATTCACATTCTTACACGTACAAGGTTTTGTTAAAGGATAAATGCTTCCGAGGTCGGTCAGCGAGGAGCGACAAGCTACGCAGTACAACATCCTCGAACCCAATCATGTGACTACTGTTTACATGGCGCACTGTCCAGCGGTCAGCTTAGAACACCGTCGTCAACATGCTCCACGGTCCTCCGTTTTTGTATATATATAAAAAAGATTTCAAAACTGCGTGGCATCGAAATCATCTACGCAATCATCCAGTACAGAGAAAACCCATGATTCTAATTCTTCTGTTCAGGTGTACAATTGGATTGACATTCAGTCACCAAAGACCATGTTTCTCTGAAAGTGTTTGAAGAAGGCACCTAGAGCATACAATGATCTTTAAACTTTATTTCTTACCATTCGGCAAATGTAGGAGTAATTCTGCCTGAAACAGACTCTTTGATTACCTTTTTCCTTTTACAAAACTTAAGTTAACTTGCTCGAGGCCAGATTTGATCATCTGAGCCCAAACAGTTTTTATTATAAAATTTCACAAAGACGCCTTTTTAAAATGTGGCTAACATTTTTTTCATAATGCTTAGAGCACTAAAAGATCAAATAAGAACACTTCATTCTTAATAAATTAAGATAAATACTCTTTTAATGGAAACGTGCTTTTTCTTCTTTTTGACCTAAAGCTGCCTGTGGTTCTGGCACAGATGTCACAGCTCATGTTGCTGTGGTTGTATATGGTTCAGACAGTAGCTGATCCCTATGCCAAACGGTATATCATGCCATTCCGCTGAAAGTGGCATGCTTGCTGATAGCCTCGCATTTCAAGCAACACGCATTTACCCATAAGTCAATGGGAGCTTTATTTACAGAAAAATGTCCTGAGGGCAGAAGGAAAAATGATAGGTTGAAAGAGATAACCAATCAGATTGTAGAGGAGGTGGGTAGAACCAGTCAGATGTATTGATTCCACCTCCTTTATAGTCTGATTGGTTATCTCCCTAAGCCAATCATGTTTTCTTCTGCCCTCTGAACATTTATCTGTAAGTAACTCCCAGGGGTTACACATCACCGCACTCCGACTTCAGTGAATGAGACCCGCGATGGAGACCGCACACAGAATGGTGCTGTAGCAATCACCTGGCCTCTTAACTTCACTGAACAGATGAGCGTTCACCATCTTTGGTCATTCACACGGGGGCTGGAGGAAGTGAGCTTATATCCACCTGACCAAGGCGAGATGCTTGGCCTACGAAGCCTAAATCCAGTCCTGATTGTCTGCTTCAGAGTATTGCTGTTTGTCACAACATTCACCATGGAAACGATACAAAAGCTGGTTGCTCTCTCCTTAAATGTCACAATGAACCAGTTGGTAGCACAAAATGGTAAAAAAAGTACCCAAAAATATCAGCTTTCACTAATTAATTGAAATACTTGGCCTATCAACGTATAATAACAAAAATGGCAAGGACAAGTGAGTGTTACGGAATCTCTAAAGTTTTCAGTAATACAGCACCTTCTCGATGCAGACCTATTGACTGTCAGTGCACAGCTATTGTTGATCAGGTCATAGTTTCAGTGTGTGTTCTCTCTTAATTTGACAAGCACAGATGGGCACATCTCCATATAAATGGGCTAATATCAGTCACTGATGAGTTAATCGACCTAACAAGTCTTATAAACAAGGAATTTACAGTAATCTTAATTTTACAGTACTGACCATAAGGGCCATCGTCAAAATGCGGTGAGCTTTTGCGAAAAACAAAATCGACTGCCTTGCCGAAGGAATCCCGTTGCGGGATTCTTGAAGCACCGGATACCAGTGTGGCATGATCTCAACTCCCTGTCCACTCCCGCTCACTGCGCTGGGCCAGCCCGGATTAAGCAGGGTCAGGAGGTCAATGAGCACACAGCGCCCTCTGTTTGCGAACCAACCTAAACTTTCTTGTCTTGGAAAGAACATCCTTTGGCAACTTGTTCTGTGGATGACGGACACACTTGCGCATCCTCCCCTCCCCTGCCCCCCCAGTGGTTTACAAAGGCTCTGCCTTGCGAGACTGATTGTGGTTGAGTCCATCAGGTTCCCGCAGCACAGTTGGGGAAATGGTTCTTTGTGGGGAGTTTTGCTGGTGACTCTGGAAGGCAGAGAGGTTCTGATCAAAGTGCAGGAGCTGAGTTTCGCCAATGATCTCCCCCTTAGCAAGGTCTATGAGGTGCCCTGGACGAAGGAATGCGTAAGTAGCTGCTCAGCCGTGGGCCGGCATTTCTCCTCCACAAACACCAGCCGCAAGAAATCCCGGCACGAGTCAGACACATCCTGAGGCAGTGCCGGCTTGGTGGGCTGTGTGGCGATCTTGAAGATGGCTGCCATGGCCTCGTATTCTGCCCAAGGGGGCTTCTGGGTCAGCATCTCCACCACCGTGCACGCCACGCTCCTGGAACAAAGACACGGAGCTGCAGTTAGGTCACCAGCCCATGGGGACCTTGAAACATCTCCAGACGTTGTGAGGGAAGGTCACAAGGATCGGCTGTTGATTCATGATAGGAAATGCGCTCAGACTGCAAATACAATCCTGAGGCTTGTGTCTTATTTTTAACGTTAGCGAGAGTTAGTTAAACATTTATATGATTGTTAAAAAAAGGGATGCTATTAATAGTGTTTAAAAAAAAAACACCAAGAAACCAATGAAGCATTACTGTGAGCAACAATGTCAGGCCTGATTCTGAGAAGAATTAATTCAAGGACTTATGAATTTGCATTGTCTTAATTGGTGAAATTGCCCTTGCGCTCTCGGGACAGGGCACACCAAAACCAGAGGTGCCATCAACTGCATTATCATAGAAAAACGCTATGGCGGAAGACCTGAAGCGGTTTACAAATTGGGGGGAGGGGCGTATTTTGTGACAGGCCTTGTCACAACACACCTCTTATGAAGAAAGATGTACGCCTTAATAAAACAAACATTGGCATTAAAATTGGACGAGTGCTGCCCCCCTTTCACTCGGGGTTCGCCCGTGCACCACCCTCCCCGTTAAATGACTGCCGAACGGTTATCTAGGGCATCTGAGCAGGGTGTCATGGAAACACATTACTGAAGCAAACGGGCAATAGGGAGCAGGACAAAATCCCACTGTGAAGTCAGTCAGTTACCCGGGACAAATTTAATCCAGGAAAACAGTACCCAGAAACTGGTAATTAAGCACACATTAAGGAGAGCTGTGTTATTGGGGGGGGGGGGTCGGCAGAGAGGGACGCTGCAATGCCTACCAGATGTCAGCCTTCCTCCCGTATCCCTCTCCATTTATAACTTCTGGGCTCATCCAGTAGGGGGTGCCGGTGACCGTCTTGATCCCCGTCCCTGACATGCAGATGGTCTGAATGCGTTTGCTGGCACCAAAGTCGCCCAGCTTCACGTTTCCGGAGGGATCTCTCAGGACGTTAGCACCTGGGGGGGGGGGGGGGGGGATGAGGAAACATCAGGATTCAGAGCCAGCCGGAGACAAGAATAATAATAAAAACATTTCTGTGGTTCTTTCCTTTTCTCTAATTTTCCAGCAATAAACTGACAATTCTCCTCAGAATCAGCTCATACGAAATCTAACAAAAAAATAAACAAAAACATTTTATACGCATGCGGTACACTCCACTACATTGTAACCGATGAATCTGCTAAGCATGTTTACCATCTGCATTAAGAGCTGCAGATAAGGCAGGCTGAGACACACCAGTCACAGCTAAACCTGGAGCTCCTTGGTCTCCACCCCATCCTGAAGCTCTGTGTTTTATCATGAGAGCAGGCCTGCAGTTATTTGAACAGTGACTAATTCAGCCCAGACACTAGGCTTCCACACCCTGGATGCACGAGTTTGAGAGAGGAAAAGACCAGGCCTGTTCCCATATCCCGTCTGTCTCGGTACTCCCCAGATCCACCGCCACTGGGAAGACTGGAATCAGGAATTCCTTTGGTTTCTTGGTGTGATTACAAAGTACCGACTAACTAATCTCCTCTAGAGGACTAGCAGACAATAGGATCTCATACACTACAGTCGAGCCTCTAGAAACCTTGAATAATGTAAGTTCCCGCCTAGGGACATTGGGGTGCTTTACCTTTGATGTCTCTGTGAACAATCATGTTTCGGTGAAGAAAAAGGACCCCTTGGAGGATCTGCCGCGTGTATCTGCGTGTCACCTTCTCGGTCAGAGCGCCGTACGCCTTCAGCTGGTCCTTTATCGAGCCCTGCCAGGAAGACCACAGGTGTGCACAAAATGCAGTGCCACTCAACCCATTAGGTGACATAGACGGCCACCTAGGGTACTTCTGAAGGTGCACTGACTTAGTGAGCCAAATTCACTTTGTCTCAGATGGGGGGCGCCATTGGGGCAGCTTCCCTAGGGTGCCACAAGGGATACGACCGGCACTGACAACAAGCCTGCAGTTTAACACGTTTGAGTCAAGCAGATTAATGCCTCCCATTGGTATCGGTCTCACAAAACTTGTTAATACCGTTTAGTCCCAAAGACTGCAGATGAACCCCATGTTGTGAATTTCTCAGTTGAAGGACTCGGAGTGCTGAGGCCAAGTCACAGACCTGCCCTCTTCCCTTTAACTGTCCTCTTGCAGAAACAAATCCGTCATGACTTTTTTTCCTGCACGCCGTAAATGCCAAAGCCAGCTTTTCTCCTGGCGGAAAGCTTCTACAGGGACTCGCTTATTTCCACCTCCTGTGTTCCTCATCAGAAACAAAGGCCAGGCCAGATGTGTCTCTTCGGCTGGGATTCTTATCGATGTTTCACAGTGGTGTGAAGCATCAGTCGCAGAACAGACAAGGAGGAAGGGGAAGAAAGACAGGACCTGGCCACTGCAACTCCTCAGCAACAGGACATGGGCATCCCCTGCTCAAACAATGGAGATACCAACTAGGACACACAGAGATGCGGCCCATTCAGACAGTAGGTCCAGGGTGCCCTAGGCTCAGTCAGTCAGAAGCCCATGGCGGTAAGGCCTGGTCAGACAACAGGCCCATGGGGCTGAGGCTCAGTCAGTCAGAAGCCCATGGTGGTAAGGCATGGTCCGACAGTAGGCCCATGGTGATGAGCCTCAAGCAGTCAGAAGCCCATGGCGGTAAGGCCTGATCAGACAACAGGCCCATGGTGCTGAGGCTCAGTCAGTCAGAAGCCCATGGTGGTAAGGCCCGGTCAGACACTAGTTTCACTTGGGTAAGTCTCAGTCTGACAGTAGCCACACTGATATGAGGCTCAGTATCATGTTCATTTTTCTCAGGAGAGAACAAAAGGTTATGGAACTGCCAAAAAAACCTGGGTGAGATTCCCTTTCAATAACGTAAGGAGGGTAGAAGACCATCACACGCCTCCTGCGAGGCAAGAGCTGTTACACACCTGCTCCTTCTCTCTCTCTGGGCCACACGCTTTACTGGGCACTGTGACACACCCAGACGGTGCGCACCAATCCCCCACTCCCCCCCGGTTCATTTGCTGGCACAGATAGAGAGTATTGTAACAGGAAGATGAGAGAAGAGAGAGATAAGAAGTGCTCAATCTTCTAACCTGCAAAGACCTTTTCCTATTCTTCACAACAAACAGCAGCAAGGCCAATCTCTAATCCTGTGGTAGGCCACCCCTCGATATTATCGGCAACGTTATCGTTTTATACTGTGTGTGAGAATTAGTGTAAATTCCTGTTTACTGAATAAGCATTTCCTTCCTGGTGGCTCCAGGTCAGTCAGAGTGGTCTCAGAGTCCTTCCTCACCCCGGGCATGAACTCCACGAAGATGGAGAGCTTGCGGTGCTCCGGATCCCGCTGGCAGCCGTAGTACTGCACGATGCGCTCGTGCCGCAGGTTTTTCAGGAGTTGGATCTCACACTCCAGGGCGTTGACCTCCTGCACACAGAAACAACGGTCGACATGGTTATGACACCCTCCACCTCGAGTCAGTGTCCCATACAAGATGACCATCAGAAGTTACAGCAGAAGTGATTACATCTAAAGGCTTGACATTGCACAGAGGGCTATGTACCATCTCCCCATTTTCCAGGACAAGATCGTGGGGTACCCAGCACGTTTTTTACTGTATTTGACTCTCCCTGCCGGCCCCTGGAGGATGGGCTCCCCCTTTGAGTCTGGTCCCTCCCAAGGTTTCTACCTTCTCGGGAGTTTTTCCTTGCCACTGTCGCCTATGGCTTACTCACTGGGGGCTTTGGGTGGGGATGCTGTAAAGCGCTTTGAGACGATGTAATGTTGTGATAATGCGCTATACAAAAATTAATTTGTTTGTTTGTTGTTGTTTGTTAATTAATTAAATGAGCAGGTGGTGAAATGTAACAAATATGGAAAAGCTGAGGTGCTCCTGAGGAGAGGTTCATCTAGCTACCCAACAATATATCGGTAACTTTTTGGAGAACATAAATTCATGTTATTGTGCTATTCTTATTCTTGTTCTAATGTTAAGTTCTGTTTTCGTCCTGAGCAAATATAGACATTTTAGCCAGATAAATAGCTTTAAACACTTCCTTTGACTGCCTAAGACGGAATCCCTCCCCTGGTGGACGTACCTTGCTGGTCTGCTGACACTCGGGGTCGAAGGAAACCTGCTTGACGGCGAGTTCGCGACCCGTGTCGGCGTCGTAGCAGAGGTAGACCTCCCCGTAAGCTCCGCGCCCCAGCAGCTTCCCCTGTCGCCAGTTGACAGGCGCCTGAGGGGCTGTGGGAGAGATGGGGAGTGGTGAGGAGGTGGTGGGGGGGAGCGTCACCAAACCCCCGACTCATAATTCATTTCAGACTGTATCCTCACATTCATCACTGTCTAGACTGACAGAGGAGGGATTTACTGGATGCCGAGGCCAACTGAGTCACGCAAAGGGATCAATTAGAACTGACGTCGAGGCGCCGATTCGGATGGAAACTTCTCGAATATGAAGGCCGTCTCTCCACCGTCGGTGGCAATGTTACACAAGGGAGACACGGACAACACATCACTGCCCAAGATTCCACACTGGAACCAACGGATTGATCAGAGCACACTTTTGATGTGAAGCTGGTTTGCCTGCACGGATTCTGGAAACGTGAACCTAGTGGTGAGGCTTGGCGCGGCTCGGCAGTGAGGAAGGCGAGAACGTTGGCAGACGAGCGTTTTTAACGCTCGTTCTTGCCAGAATTGCTCGAGGCCGGGGCACACTCACGCTTGGAGGGGGCCGTGAGCTCTGCCGTCCAGTCCAGGGAGCGGAGGTCAGAGTACTGCAAGGTGCCGTCCCCAAAGCTGCAGACGCGGCCGGGGCGAGCCAGTTGGAATGGGTTCTCCTGGGGCATGAAGCTGCGGGGGAAAGTCCTCCATCCTGAAGGGGCGCAGACACGCACAGGCAAGACAGAGCCACACAAAGCAAGAGCCATTAGCAAAGGCTGCAGACATGAGCCAAAAAGATTCCCTTAAAGACTCCATCTAAGTGAAAAAACAGTAAGTGCTGCTATTTCTCAAGCCAACGTGGGACACTAGAGACACATAAATCATTGTAATCTCAGGTCAGGTTCTAAGCGAGGTCTGGACACAGGTTACCGTGGGCTAAGGTTGCATGCACCAAATGAACTCACAGTTTAGCGTGTGGTTCCTAAATTTCTGTCACACTCACCATCACTGTAGTCCTTCCTGTGACTGGAAAGGTGGAACTGCCTGGGGAAAGTGCTGCCTTTATTGTGCCTACCTGCAGGGGGCAGTGTGGAGACAATATGTGATGACGCACAAATGTACGAAAAAAAAAAACAATTTCTTTTCCCCCTCGGCCGTGGCACGAGTTCACAGTTTTTTAAAAGCCTATATTTCATTTTTCTCCAGAGGAGGTGAACAGATGAAATCTGCAGAGACAGCAAACAGAGAACCACCCAAGTCTAATGCGACACCTAAAAGCGAAAGCGGCAGTCTGTAAAATAGCCGATGAGGTCTCGTTGAAGCCCGGCGATACAAGAAAGGGGCTCTGGAGCCTCGTGTGAGTGAACACAGCTGTTAGGAGGGCCGAGCGACTGTGGGATTGTGTTGTTTTGGTCCCGTCTCCCAGAGACGTGGAACCACTAGGTTTTTTTTTTTCTAGAAGGGAATGTGGGGAAAAAAAGTATCACAAGGGGGAGAAAATAAATGCAGAGCGCTGGTAACTGGATCCCGTCTGCATTTCCCCGTCCAGCATCGTACTGGACAAGGAAAACATGAGCCGAGCGTGTGTATCCGCGCATAGCAGGGTATGGGGGAGGTGTGTGTCGGCGAACGGTGAGCTCGCTGTGTGGGCGCGTGTCCCTGCAAGCACGCGGGTATATTTGTGCACATGTCATGTTTATCTTCGTGTAGATCGGTCCCAGGGCACACACTCCTCCCATGCACTCATATAGACAGTCACGTGGCCTGTTTCGGCTGGGAAAAGCAGACAAGGAAATCTTGCTGAAGGCGCCCTACCTCTATGAGGTCTTGGCTTTCACGGTCGCATGAGCGGTCTCGGGAAGTGTAGGTTGGTGTGGCCTGCCCCGATTAACGGATTTGACCAGGATGATACTCAGCACAACCCCAACATATACTAGCCATTATCACATACATGATTATTCTAATTGCAAACAGGCTGAACATTAGCCCAAAAGGCCACAATTCAGATTTCACACAAACAGCACTGTATGAGTCAGAGAGCCACCACCTCCCCGTTCATCCTGATATCCCCATCGTAGCACAACTGTGTGGCCTCTCTGCAGTTCGTTACTGTCAAGCCGCAGTCCTCTCATTAGCAGGACGGGAGGCCTGAAAACGGGAAGCGGAGACGAATCGAGGGCGATTCAGTGGCCGCCCTGCTGGCGGGCGGAGCCAAAGCGCCGTTACTGGGCCCCTTGGCGTTACCGTGCCGACCATCCCACATCTCCTACCTTTGTATTCGTAGCTGAAGCTTGGGTAATTACTGTCCCGGCCGGTCTGGGGGAACGGAGGGCTGAAATGACAAGAACGCAGAAAGAAGACAAATGACCGAGGCTATTTTCGTACTTAACTCTCCCCCTTCACAACCCCCCCCCTCCCCAGATCAGGCTGCAGCCTGCCCTAAATTCTGCAGGCTGCAAGCTGGGACCTGGTCACATTGAGCGTCCCCAAACGCCCGCACGGCATGATTCATCTGCCCAGCTACGGGAATGTAGAACAGCATCCAAAGGGAAGGCGCGGAATAACGAAATTACAGGGACGCAACGTGAACAAAAGCGGCACTGTAAGGCCCCCCCCCTGCCCCCCCAACCCTGACCACAACAACTGGTTGAAGGCCAGATGGATAGTAACTGGTACCCCATCCAGGGAGTTCCCTTGCCTTCAAAGGCCCACACCCTTGTACCGTGAAGGAGGTACAGAAAATGAATGGAGAGAGGAATAATCCATCCATCCATCCGTCCGTCTTCTAGACTCGACAGTTCTATGCAGCTTCACAGGAGTCCAGGGGGGTATTCCACAATGCAGGATTTCTTCATTAGCCAGATAACCAAATATAAGGATTATCCAATAAGAATGTCACTCATTTATCTTCCTATTGGACAGTTCTCACGTTTGGCTTAAGTTATCCAACTAACTTGGGAAATCCTGATTTGTGGAGTTACCCCCCACATAATATGATGATAATAATAACAAAACAACAACAGACAGGCATCGTACAATTCATGCATGTCCTACAACTGTAGAATAAGTGATGAGTTCAGTGATAAGGACTCCCACCAAACCTGCCTAACTAATGTGCAAAAATTTGCTCAAATAAAAGGAAAGTGCCACAGTGCCGAAAGACAGCTGGCATGCAGGTAAGGCACGTGCGTGTGTGTGTCTGCGCGTGTGTGTGGCTGCCCATAGTTTCCTGTGGTCGCTTTCATTTCTAGGGCCCTGCAGAAACAGCATGGGCAGGAAACACCAGTGACCGCAGAGTTTCAGGTGAACTGAAAACCTTGGAGTTGCCATGGTGATCAGCAGCCTGCCTATGTGAGATGTCTTAAAAAGTCTTCTGCAGGTTCACCTCAAAAGGCAAGAAAGCCCCAGCTCCTTCTGAGGCCGGGTCTGAGGCCACGTAAACACACCAGTGACCCTCACCTGTCCAGCGTCTGGTCCAGCGAGTCACAGTCGTCGGACAGCGAGTCTTCCAAACTTCTGAAAGGGTCTAGGATCTGGTGGAGGGAGCAGTGTGAGGAGGACCAGAGAGCCCGCTGACCTGGAGCCATCGAGCCGGAGTGAGAGCGACCCCTGCAGGGCAGCGCGGCGAAAGGCTTACGTTCTGCTCTGGGGTTTCGGGGATGAACTCGCCCTCGCTGTTAATGCTGGTGTACGAGCCCTGCCGGGCTATCTGCTGCTGCTCTTCTGGTACGCTGCCTGGAGGGGGTGAGCTGCGGCCTGTGCGCACTGATCCTGGCCATGGAGGGGGGAGAGAAAAACGGTAATGCAGTCTTCCTTCCTACTCAGGACATCGGCGGATTGACGATCCTCCCACTATGAAGACAAGTTCCCCCACACATCTACCTACCAACCCATCAATGCCAACACACTCAAACAAAATCACACACTACTGAACTACAGGCATCAACTGCATTAAGAAGCTGGAGGAGACCAACTCACACAGAGAGAACGTGGGAGAGAGTGGGAGAGCATGGGAGAGTGTGGGAGAGTGTGGTAGAGCGTGGGAGAGCGTGGCAGCATGGCAGAGCGTGGGAGAGCAAGAATGAATGTGCAAACTGCTTTAGAGTTTAAGCAGGTGTATTTATGCTAAGAAACATGTGGCTAACAAACACTATAAGCTGGCAGGGCTTAATCAACTAGACTGCACACCTTTTCAAACCTGCAAACCTCTTCTGCAAAGACAACAAGCCACTAAAACAAAAGAGGAACTTGCTGATTTACTGAAACACTCGGGGCACTTTCAGTATGATCCACAGCGAATCAGCGGCTCTGTTTCACTTCCATAATTTAGCTGTAACTTGCCATGAAATAATCTTACAGCTTGATCTATTGAATTACGTGCTGGATTAATGAAAGGCCAAAGTAACATTTTGTAATGAAATAAATACGTGTTAATGAGACCCCCAGCTTCTAAATTAGCTTTCATTATACTTTGTCAGAGTGTTTTATAGAGGACGGTGAAGAAACGATTCATAGTGATGCGGCAAGCTTGTCTTCAGCGAAGGGCTGGCAGGACCGTTTGATACCATCACAGGGAACGTGAAAGACACCCATGTGAATGTGGTGAGGACATGCTGGGCCCAGGCTGAAGCCCACTGGCCAGAAGCTGACGGACGACAGCGGTCCTCTGCTTTCTCCTACCAACTCACCCGTGGAGTGCTTGCGAGTTTTCTCCGCTCCTTTGAACGGGGAACCCTTCAGATCTCCCAGAGACTTTGAGGATCTCATCTCACTCTGCCTGTCCGCTCTGTTGACCTGCAGGAGCTGCACAGGAGGAGAGAGAGCATCTCTGACACGTCGCGATGGCACTTTCCTTCTAAGCGTCACCAGGCCGTTAGAAACTGCACACATCTGAAATCACCCCTAAGGACGTATTAACCATCAAACTAGTCAGCTCATTAAAATACTACAATAATTTATTAAATTAACTAAACAGTAAATCTAAATAATTTGCAACCAAATAAAACATGTCAATTACACATTGATCTGATATCAGCAAATGACCCAAAGTCACATGACTAGATGAGAATGATTTGCTTAACTTGGTGATTAAGCTAAGAGGTCCCCTTTGGTTTGATTGATTTGTACAAGTTGGGATGCTGTGTAATATGTAAATAGAAACAGAATGAAATGATTTGCAAATCATATAAATCCATATTTCACTGAAAATAGAACATAGATAACATATTGAATGTTGAAACAGAAATTTTTGTGTTTTATGACAAACATGTTCAGTTTGAATTTCATGTAAGCAACATGTTTCAAAAAAGTTGGGACAGGGCAACAAAAGACTGAAAAAGCTGTGCAATGCTAAAACAAAACACCAGGTTGAATATCTCAAAACTATTTAGGTTTATTGGCAACAGGTCAGTAAGATGACTGGGTATAAAAAGAGCCTCCCAGAGAGGCAGAGTCTCTGTGCAGTGAAGATGGGGAGAGGTTCAGCACTCTGTGCAGTGAAGATGGGTAGAGGTTCACTGCTCTGTGCAGTGAAGATGGGTAGAGGTTCACT